GAAGCTGGAGTTCCTCAGGGTACTGTTCTCTCTCCGTTTCTCTTTTCCTTCTTCTTACATGATTTACCTCTTTCAGATGAAATCAACTTCGTCAAATATGCAGATGACCTGTCTGTATCGTTTCCCATTAAGTCTCAGTCAGACTGTCTCAAATTAAATAGCTTCCTGTCGGACATCAGTCAGTGGTCCAAACTAAATGGTCTCATGCTGAATCCCTCAAAATGCCAGACTATTGACTTCTCCCTTAGGCATAAACGAGATCTACAAACACTAGTAAGTACTCATGAAGACTGTTGCATTGAGGGGACTAAAATTGAAACTTAGTCTAATGCAAAATACCTCGGTCTAGTTCTGTCTTCCGACCTTACTTGGACATCTCATATCCTAACGATTTCTAAGAAAGTGTTCTGTCTTACCTACTACATTAAGAAAATTAGACAATCTGGAATCATCCAACCTCTACTTTCACAATTTGTCAACTCTTGTATCTTACCTATTCTACTTTACTGCTCCCCGTTAGTCTTTCCTGGTCTACTGAAAAAGGACTATACCATCCTGAGAAGGATGTTGAAGGTAGTCAGTAGGACTAGTGGTGTAAAACTCAGTCAGCTCGTCACTACATTAGTTGAAAGGCATCTGAATACATGCGAAAAATGGTCTAAAACCATACTCTCCGACCCCCAACACCCCATCTATTCCCAACTCTCGCCTTGTATCTCATCAAGTAGAACCAGAAATCAGTATAAAATAATCTATGCTCGTACAACCAAGTACAGGAACTCAACGATACCATACTTGGCCCGTGTTCTAAGCGACAGAGACAATGTTAAGCGTGAAACCTATGACTTGCTTTGTTATTAACAACATAATTTCAGGCTCTTTTATTTCTCTCTTATTTTGTATTCTATAGTGAACTCCTTCTCAAACATACTTAGCTACCTAAATTATTAACATTGGCTTCCTTTTTTGTACTTTACTATATTCCTTCTATTGTGTATCCACTGGTTCCGACTATATTAGCACTATGAGTAGTACAAAATTGTCCTGTCATTAACCATCATGTAATTATCAGTTTTGTGGTTGTTTTTACTTATTTTCTATACTTTTCGGCAATATTAAACTGACAATCATTGGTTGTGAACGCCATTGTCACCACCTTAAAAAAAAATTTTGTATTATTCAGGATTACTCACACTACCACTACAAACACTGCATTAGACCTGACAATAAGAAACAAAACAACAACCCTGAAATGTTATTTTATGATTATTTAGAGTTGTTTCAATCAAAATAACTGACCATCTTGGTGATAAACATTCTTAAATATCATTTCATAACTTCTTGTATGACTATAGCTTTACTGTCATCATGCATAATCATATCATAGCTTCCACTACCCAATACTGAGTTATTATTATATGATGTTTATTTTCCTTTCTACTTCTTGGTACTTTTTCGCATTTATAACTATTTTGTGTTTATCCTGTTTCTTTTTTGCTGTTGGTGTCTTTAGATTTATTTTTTTTGTTTGTTAAATACTCCTTTTAAATGTTTGTAAAATTAGATGCAAATATTGTAGATATGTGCTGAAAATTCCACACTGTACCACTAGTACTGTTTCTGGAATAAAGCAAATTATTATTATTATTAATCTGCAAACTCAAATTTTTAAATAAAATGAACGAAATTCAGAATAGCATATCAGTTGCATCTTAGTTGACAGCCTGATGGATCATGACAACGATCTATCTACAGAAAACCTACCTGGATAGGACAGTATCATAATTATCACAGTTTCTGCCCGGTTCGGTACAAAACAGCCTTAGTTAGATTTCTCTTCTGTAGAATCCAATGAAGAATCTGCACCGAAGACACACTTGATGAGAAAGAAAGAAAATTGACAAAAATTCTGGTTGATAATAATAATTATCCAGACAAGTTCATTAAGAGATATCAAGTGGGTAGAAAACACCAAGACCCGCACTCCAACTCGTGACCAACAAAGACGTGTATATATCAAATTTAGCGTATATGGGTGATCATAGCAGCTTAGTAACTAGACAAAGATTGAACACTATGGCTAAAAAGACATTTTATACAGCTAAGATCTAAGCCCTTAAAACATGTGCAAAATGTTGTCATATCCCACTGTATTTACCAATTTGAATGTATGTGTGGACACACATACATAGGGAGAACTGAGTTATCGATCTATGCAAGTAAGAGCTTGCTTCATAGCATATTCTTAAATGGCTTCAGAAGTGAATAGAATCCCCAGAACCCATGAATGGTGAGAACAGATGACCTAGATCCTTTATTACGAAACATATAGTGATGGGATATAAAACTTATGTTTCAACACCTCCTTTATACCTATCTATAGAACATGTTTTGGGTAGGGCGTATCCTAAAGTTTGTGGAAGCCCTTAGCTGGCAATTAGGAAGTTCAAACCACCTATATGCGATCATAGCAACAATTCATCATCTCACTAAACCTCCACTGGTAAACTTTGTCTTGATTCCAGCCAGGGTAGATGTGCTATTACCTCTCTTATTTGGTTTAGTAATCATCATTGTTATTTGACCTTCAATATATCCTTTTAACTCGACCTAATTATATTTTCTCACCTCCTAACTCTTCATTAATTTCGATAAATATATATATATATATATATATATGAACAAAGCTATGCAAATTACAGTAAAGCCTGAAGAAGACCTAATCGAAGACAGAATTGTTCGTTTATATGTCTTGTTTTTACTTTAACATTGGAAATATTTAAAGATCCCTATTTAATCTAACATTTGGAAACTATAAACACTGAATAACTTCACTTAGGTCAAGAAACGGAACGACAGTAACGAGCGCTTCCCCTTAAATAACCGCAAAAATTCTTAATAAGTAATGAAACCTATGAAGTATTAGCATAAAATAAATCTGTATCAAGGGAGATGAAACGTTTTTTTACAAAAATTAAACCACTGAAGCAGAATATGTCACCCTCCAAATATTACTCCTTTCTTCTTACAGTAGCAAAGTTTCAGCTCAGTTCACCTGAAATATAAATACTTGCAGCTAGCGTCATCTAAGCATTTCACAGTTTCCCACACTCTCAACATAATATGACACAATATAATGCTAAAAATTGATTCTAATCAAACATTTTAAAAAGGAAATTTCAACAATAGTAAATTTTCACTTTGCTACAACGTGCTGGTATGACAGTGTGTCATTTACAGGCAATCATAACAGTCACACAACACCTATTCTCTGTCATATCTCTACTTATGACAAACGAAAATATGCAAATGTCCTTCGATTGGACACTAGATGGTTACAGATATCACGCGTGTAGCCGCCTATTTGGTGCAGATTGAATTATATCAGTCAAGTTTGCAATATGACCACCATGCTAGATGCCTTGTCATCATGATACTTTTTAATTGTTGTTAATGGGTGCTTGGGCGGTGGAGAGATCAGTAAGAAGCTCTTGGACTTAGGTTTCGTGCTTGTTGACATTGTTGTCAGCATAGCATATCTACAGTCTTGAAAGAATTCATTCTGGTGATGCCCGTAGACGACGTTACCACTGACCTAATCCAGTTGGCGAATAACCTCCTGTAGATCTGTAATTTGATGCAGAGTGAATTCAGTTAGTCAGACTTGCAGTGTGACCACCATGCTAGGTTGTATACTCTGAAATGTTATCAGATGGATTCCTTAAGTGAATTATTACGTGAGTGAAGTTCATGCGATTCGAAGTTGACAGGTCCATCATAAAAATTAACACTCATGGGCTTATAAACATCAGTCTCTGTCAAAGCCAGAACCATTTATCATTCTAGTAGATATTGATTAATAATAACTTCAAAGCAAACGCTATTTGTAACTGATTACTTCATAATTTCTAATCATGGGAGTAAACTATGCGCAAGGAAAAGCAAGACAAGCTTTCACTACTCTCAAATCTGTGTGGAGGTCAACAACTCTCAGCATCAAAAATAAGATCCGGATTTTCAACTCCAATGTGAATTCAGTCAGTGCTACTATACGGATCAGAGACTTGCACTGCGCGTCATAAAGAGCATCTCAAACAAACTACAAGCCTTCATTAGCAGTTGTCTTCGCTCAATACTCAAGATCAGATGGCCAGAAAAGATCACCAACAGAGATCTCTGGGAGCGAACCAACCAGGAACAGATTGTGAAACAAATGGGCAGGAAGAAATGGAGATGGATTGGCCATACTCTGAGGAAACCATCAAGTGACATCACTTGACAAGCCATCGCTCGAGTGGAACCCGAAAGGGGAGCAGCGAGTTGGTCATCAGAGCGAGGGTGACTTGGAGGAGGTCATGTGAAGAGGAGATGAAAACGTGTGGGCAGACTTGGAGCCAGTTGAAGACTCTAGCAGAGAACCGAACCCAATGGAGACGCATGGCCGAAGCCCTATATTCCTGTAGGAATTAAAGGATACAATAATAATAATACGTTGATATGACCACAGAATAATATAACTCTAGGGAACTATTGAAAACCAGCAGGGAGCAATTGACAACTGTTGCATTCTAGTACAGCAGTGATTCTTTAGTAGTAAATACCCATGCCGTGTGATCGAGCCCAGTACCTTCAGACTACACTACGAAGCGAATCTGTTGATCATTTAGCCATTAGAATGCCATACAGTGAGTGATCGGCCCATTAATTTTAACTTCTGTCAGTTCACCATGTTGAATTGCCACTGGTATGTGTTGTCAAAGATTCTCAGGAGGAGACAAAATCAATTTCAAGTTCACAATTTACAATCGGATACACCATTGATGACCTCGACCCGAAACGGCCGTCAACCGGTGTTTACATCACCTCGATCTACCTAGCTGGCCAGTACAACTGGTCAATATGAGTCGTACACAACTACTCGTTTCAATGACTTAAAGTAGTATAAAGAATTATTTTCAGTTGTTCACATTCAACGTATTACTCTTTTTTTCTATTTTTAGAGTATCATCGTCATGGGTTTCCTTCTGTTTGCCGATGCTGGTGTCTTCTTAACACTGATTTATATAAATAGAAAAACTGTAAGTGCTTAAAACTGTTTTGTTATTTTTAGAAAATAATTTTAAACAAAATCTGTGGGCGGGTGTTTTGTGTGATTACTTGGAATTTCAATTGGTGGATGGTGACTAGCAGTGGAATCCACCAATTGAAGCACATTTCGTCTTATTTGGGACTCGTCTGCCAGCTGGATGTACCGGCATTCCGGAAAGAGTGATGATTTTCCCACTGGGGCTGGAACCCAGTGGCCATAGTTTCAAACACCAAAGCGTTATCCACTAGACAATTGGGCCATGTAAAATTGAATTAAATACTTGGAATTTTGTTGCTTAAATTAGTTCAAAAACTGAGAAAGAATAGTAATATATTACTGTTAGTAATCGTCACATTAAGTGTGTGCTAATAAGTTGTTATTGTTGAGTTTTTGTACTTAGTTGTCCGAGCATACAGTCTTCTATAATTGCTTCTAGGTTCAACCGCATGAGATGCAATGAGAGCGTTGACGAGGACCACTGACTAATTTCTGAAAACATTTTTTTTCATTTCGGAACAGTTTGACTGAGAAGCAATCGCTGGCTTAGAAACAGTTAGATCATCTACATACTTAACAAAATTGGCTTCGTCAGAATGCTGCAGGTCATGTAAGAAGAAGGAAAACAGAAAAGGAGAAAGAACAGTTCCTTGAGGAACAACAGCCAGAGTAAGTGAAGGAGGGGCAGTAGAGGACTTCCCATTGTAAACAGTGTACTGCTTCCTATCAGAAAAATAGGAATGCAACCACTTGGTAATTTAGCACTATACTTGTGACGCAGCAAACCTGTTTAACAAAAGAGTGCTAGTTACAGAGTCGAAGGTAGATGTGTAATTTAGCTGCTGCTGGATTCAACATAGAACTTGGCACCGAAGTGCAGCAGTTCGAGTTGCCACGTTCCAAATAGCACACAAAGGTAGACAAGAAGATGAGTGAAGAGAATCAATAGAGTTTTGACAAGTATAAGAGTGAAACAGAATGAGTAATGGTAGAAAGGAATATGAAAGATTACACAAGAGACTGAATACATCTGCGTAAGCCATTGACAACGATTTTGAGCCATGTCACCTATTGTCTCCAGCCATTGATTCTTAGAGTCCGGAGGGCCCCAACCCTGAAGTCTGCATCTCCCTACCTGGCTCAGTTTAACTGTCAAGGATTCCATGGATTGATGAGGCCATGTTTTTGTTTGGCCACCACTTACTCTTTTCCAACCTGCACCTATATCAGCTAGTAATGCCCGTCTAGGTGGGGGGGGGGGCGATGGTTAGGCATGCGCAGCACATGACCTAGCCATCTCAATCTATGTAACTTCATAGCCTCGTTGATTGATTTTCCCTCTTTGCCCAACATTCTACGCCTGACGTCAACATTACCTACCATATTATGCCACCTAACGTGAGAAAGAGATCGTAAACATCTATGATCAAAAGCAGTCAACCTTTTCACGTCTTCAACTCGTATTGGCCATGTTTCGGAGTCATAGAGAAGGACGGAGCGAACTGCTGAGCAGTACACACGTCCCTTGGTTGATAGTCGGATGTCATGCCTACGCCAGAGACGGTGTAAGTTAGCGCAAGCAGCCCGAGCTTCTTGGATCTGTGCTGATATTTCGTCACCAATCAATCCGTTTGGTGCTGATACAACTTCCCAAATAGGTGAAGTGGTCAACATGTTCTATCACTTCACTCCCTATCACTAAGCTAGGGGTAGACGTAGTCCAGTCCTGTAGCAGCATCTTACATTTTACAGGGGCGAATCGCATGCCAAACATACGAAGATTGCTGTTCAAGGTGTTCAGAAGACTCTGCATTTTGTCAGCATCCTCCCTTAACAGGACTATGTCATCTGCATATTCTAAGTCCATAAGACTATTCCCTGGTAACAAGTCGATTCCTAAGTCGTTAAGTTCAGTTAAGGATACTTCCATTAGCATATCTATGATGAAGTTAAACAGACCACATGTGTAATTTAGGAAGGCACATTTAACATATTTGCACCTCTATCTAAACTAGATGACAGTGGCATCTAGCGTACACCTACTGTGTTTGTAAACAAATTGATTAGGGTCGTTAGAGGCCTTCAATGAAAGGTGAAGTAGCAGCAATAGGTATGAACTCAACAGTTTGTCCACTTGATGATTTAAAGTCCTTCTAAGAAGCAGGCACAATGTTACTGGAAAATGATTTATCGAAAATACCAGTGAGAGGATGACTTAAAATGTCAGCATATTTATTGAGGATGATAGCCGTTTCAACATTTAGACCAAGGGACTGGGTAGGTTTCAGGGATTTGAAACACTTGAAACACATCGTTTGAGTTAATACCCGAAAAGTGGTCATTATTTGCACTTGTAGCATTTGAGATCATAGCATCAAATGGATGACATATGAATGACCTATTAAGAGTACCAGCATCAAATGAAGATGGACCATTATTTAATACTGTATCACTGTGTGTTAAGTCAAATAAACTTACCTAATGTGTAATTATATCCGGTCACTACCGGTGTTACTTCTCAGTTGGAACTTATCAACCACACTTGTGAATCCCAACCCAATTTCACTTATCAAATTACATTACCTTGTTGCATACATTTCCAGAAGTCTTAGATTAAACAATTTTCGGTCGTTAGTTAGGTGTTAGAACACTGGCCAACCATGTAAGCTGTCCGCGGGTTGCCCTCTGACTGACGCACTCCTTTACCTCGCTCTTAATAATAATGGATACTCACTAGTATATGACTACAAGATAACAAAGTTTTGTTGAGTCCTAGCAAGAAGTTGTAACCGGTGGGATCCACTAGGTTGGGTTGGATATCAGTGATCCTCCTGGCTATCAGTGATTCTAAATACCAAGAAATTGTAAACGTTATGACCTTATGACCGGAAGGTCATGGGTCCAGTCGAACGTCGCAAACTATAACGAAACAGCTGTCAAGAATTCCCTGGTCCTCTTACTGATATTAATCAGATTAAAAATCAATCAAATCCCCAGAAACTAACACTTAAAAATATGAACTTAGTTTACAGTTAAAAGTCAATCTGAACGAAGAATATTCTTTTCAATAATTTCTCCTCTTCAGGTTCTTACAATTATAAAATATAATATTTGTTGTCGTTACAATAAAGGCCAGTTATGCGGCAGATACATTTTTTAACGTAGAATAACAGATTAGTTATGGGGTGTCAAAATAAATAGTCGTTTTTGTGTGACAAACGTGCTAGGCTGAATTCGATTACAAAATATTGTAAAACGGGAGACAATGGTGGTGATTAATCATAATAGATTTGTAGAGTGTGGGGTAGGAAAATTGACAAGTCAGTTCAAGGTTATAAAAGGTGTCAGGTGAGTGGTTAGTACAGAGTGGTCTGTGTTAAACAGGAGATAGTAAGACTGCAATGGGAGGTTCATAATGAGATAACGAATATGTGAAATGAAACAGGTGGAGGCATATATTGAGAAAAGAGATAATATCACTAATAATAAGTCCGGATAGTATAAACGAAAAAATTCGATAGTATTGAGAGAATGTTTTCATGAAGGGCATAAATTATGACGAATAATAATAATTGTAATAATAAGCAAAGCAAAGAAAAACAAAGCCAAGAGGGTTAAGGGGAAGGAGCACTCTCGGTGAGAAGAAGAGTCATCAATCCAAGTTTGGCCACGGTAGGAACAGCGTCTGGACGTGTTCTTTTTGGATACAAAGTTCCGGTTTAGTCGATCTTATTGCAACAGCTTCAGCTATGTGTAGAAGACGTAAGCGAACTGTACGTGATAACGACTTCGGAATTTGGTATATAACCCTGAAAGCTGTGTTGACATCGATATGATGTCCAGTATCTACCAAGTGTGACATGATCGAGCTTTTTATGCACTTAATTTCCCTCTGCTGAACCAAGCTGATAAATGCTCTTGAACCCGTAGACGAACCTGCCTAATCGTGCGCCCTATATAACTTGAACCACAGGAACAGTTGAAATGGTATATACATGAAGAAGAGCTAAGCTTAGGTAAAACATCTTTGAGTTGCTGGGTGAACATTGGACGGCTAGTTTACAGTTGCAAAAAGTGCAAACATTTCTAATAATTTCTAATTTTAGAATTTCATCATTAATCGACATCGGTTAGAGGACCGTTGGAAAATTCACATAGTACTGGTTAGCTATTTCGTCCTAGTTTTGGACTCTTCAACAGTACACATTCCAGTACTCCCAGGTTTTTTAAACTGTCCTCTAAATGATGTCAGTTCATAATGAAATCCTGAAACTAATCAAATCCCTACAAGTCAAGATTTGAACTTATCATTTTGTAGAATCGATTAGTGTCAGATGATATCAAAGTCACATTTTTAACATGCATATATACTATGTGACTCATATAAAATATGCTTTTGTTACAAACAGGTAACTTAATTATAGTATAGTTTGCTTGTATTCTGCTGATTTATTGATTTTTGTGCACTCTCTATATTTTCTTTTATATGACCTTTATTCACTTTGTTTTTCTGCATAATAAGTGAGACAGAAATTTTCCGAAACTACTTCTCAACTTCTAAATAGCTGTCATACTTGTTATCTGATTGGATGGGGGATTTCATCATGAGCTGACATCAGTTAGAGAACCATTGGAAAACTAACAGCAAGGAGTATTGGACAGCTGTTTCGTCAGCCTAATTTTGGACTCTTCGGCAGCACGCACCCACACTGTGGGGGTTTGAACCCAGAACCTTCTGGTTACAAGGCTAGCGAGCTCGTAGACCATTAAGCCACTGGGACCCGATCCAATGGCCCAGTGGTTCTCTAACTGATGTCAGCTCATGATGAAATCCTCCATCCAATCAAACAAAATCTCCTTCGATTTATCATAGTTGGCTGTGTTAAGCAAAGAAAATAAATGCTGTTTCAACTTCATAAATAATAGGCATATCTTAGGCTTTTTGAACTTCAAAAAAGAGAAGGTTAGAGACAGCTGCTGAGGACTATAACGCTCATACATCTCAAACTACAAATTTGCATTTCATTTTTAACTTCAGAGACTTCCTATTTTCTTTTAAAGAAAATGTCAATTGCCTAATGTGAGTCTGAAGTTCAGTAGTATTATGCTTACCAATCAGATGGGTGGGCCAGGTTCGATTCCCAACTGATGAACTACTTAGCTTCACCTCCTTTAGACAGTTGGTATTATTTCACTGAAAAGAAGGAAAGCTGGACTTCAGGCTGGCATCCACATTCCATAAGAAAAAAGATCACTGCTAAAAGTTTGAAACTCTGATTTATTTCGCTGGAAAAGCAAGAAATGACGAACAATTGGAATTTTTTATTTTAGTGGGTACACGATTTCCTCATGAACTGACAATGGTTAGAGGACCATTGGAAAACCGGGTGGGAGTACTGGACAGCAGTCTCATCAGCCTAGTTTGGGACTCCTCTGCAGTACGCATCCATCACTGGGGTTCGAATGCGGGACTTTCTGGTTACAAAACGAGCTCGTAGACCATTAAACCACTGGGGCCCAATCCAATGGCCAGGTCTCTATACGACTTCGTACATGTCACTCTTAAAGTGACGCTCAACTGGTTACTTACTCTCCACCCGGGTTCCACTCGGGAGTTCACCTGACACCACTGGTGATATCCAGTGGTCTCTTCAGCTTACATGCCCAATCCATATTCATTTCCTTCGGCATATCTGTTGGACAGTATTGTAACGGTAGAAGACGAAAGATTTGGTGAAGGAATATTTATTCGCAGTTTTGGTCTCTCTATGTGTACACCTTTATTATGTTCAAGGCACCATTTACACAGATCTTCCATGTTGTGCCTGATACTTCTGGCCTTCCGTCATATTGTGTTTCTTTGTATTCCTTCCATGCCTACCATGTATCTCTGCAACGCTGAATTATTTGCTTTCTTTGACGACAAATATATCTCCCTGCTATTAAATGTTTTTATGCCTATGAACGTCTCTTTATACACCACTGATAAATCTTATCAGTAGTACATGCCATAGTATGTTCTTGGTTGGTTTGTGGATAGAGTTTCTAGCTGCCAATCTTTTCTGGTCAGTCATCTGATCTTCAGCGATGAACGAAAGCAGTTGTATAGTGAAGACACTTCGATGAGATTTGATTGCCCCTAGAATCAATGCCTTAAATTATGAAACCCTGTGACTCTTTAGACAGCTTCATGTATGTACAGAAGACGTAGGTGAACTGTAGGTGATAATGTCTTCCGAATATGGTATATAACCCTAAGGACTATGCATGCTAACATCTACGTGATCTCCTGTTTTTATGCATTTATAAATTGATCGTCTCTGTATCCCGCCAGCGGAAGTTTTCGAATTCATAGATAAATCTACTTAATTCATAGGAACTGTTAGTCACCATATACATCCATTTTTATTTTTGATTGAACACTAGTCAGTAACTAGTGTAATGTGTCTAGTCCTATCTTCGGTGAAGACTGAATTCTATCAGTCATGTTTGCAATGTGGCCACCATGCTAGGTGGCTCGCCATTACGGTGCACTGTGAATTGTTGGTACTAGATGGTGGGAGGCAATCGGCAGGAAGCCTCGAAACTAGGTTTCGTGCTAGTTGGCACTCATCAGCAAGGTGTACCTGCAACCTTGAAGGAACTTATGTCCCTTTTGAGATTGGAACCCGAATCACCCAGTGCTGCACTCAGAGAAGTTACCACTGAGCTATTCAGGCTCGCGACTGACCTCCTGTAGGACTGTATTGGATATTTTTGATTGAACACTAGTCATGACTGATAGAATTCAGTCTGCACCGAAGATAGGAGTAGACACATTACACTAGTTACTGACTAGTGTTCAATCAAAAATATCCAATACAGTCCTACAGGAGGTCAGTCGTGAGCCTGAATAGCTCAGTGGTAACGTCTCTGAGTGCAGCACTGGGTGATTCGGGTTCCAATCTCACAAGGGACATCAGTTCCTTCAAGGCTGCAGATACGCCTTGCTGATGAGTGCCAACTAGCACGAAACCTAGGTCCGAGGCTTCCTACCGATTGCCTCCAACCATCTAGTACATCCATTTTTAAAGTATTCAGTGTTCTTATCATACAGATACTATTTACGTCATCCACTTAAAACTTGAAAATAATCTGTTCTTAAATCTATAACCGTATTCCACATTACAATGGTTGCATCACATACTTGGTTGTGTGTAGAGATCCACAGACACAAGATCGGAAATTCTACCACCGACGTTAAGTTAATCATTTGTTTCCTGATAGTTCAAAACCTTGGCCAGCAAATCAGCAAAAGCATTTCAAACATATGAATGCGGAATTTCACTAGCAGCTGCCTTCGCTTGATTAGATAGATGGTCAGTCAACCAGAAACGATGAATAGGGAACTCCACCATACAGAGAACCCATCACAATCCTGTTGCACAACATATATTAAGAAGAAAATTCAAAAATAAGTTGGACAGACTCTGAGGATGCATGTTGGGCAGGTCATCAAGTGGAACCTGAATGGAAAGCAAGCAACGAATTGTTTGTGTGTGTGTGTGTGTGGATCCGTGGGTTACATGAAGAAAACTGTATGAAAGGCGAATGAAAGCTAGTGAATTGTCACGGAGCCAATCGAAATTGGCAGCAAAGAAGAAAGTGCACTGGGGATGTACAAAATGGAGATGGTCAGTCCCACTAGGAACCAAAGTAATGAATAGTAACATTACATGCTAATCACGTATGTGGTCCGAGATTCAATCCCCTCGACCTCTCTGATCCTGTAGTAATGTCGGTAACGAGGGAAAGCTGAGCGTGAGGCCAGCAACCCCAGTCAGTAAAAGCAAAACCACTGCCGCAGAAACTTCAAAGGTCAGACTTGAAGCCCTCGCTATGTTCCACTCGAAACGTAAAGGAATAAATGAAAATGATGGCTATTACTTCAATGTTAAAACATGTTTGGTTGCTGATTATGTGCATATTTGTAATATTTGGGGGGTTATTATCTTGTCCTTATTCTTCTCTTCATTTCTTTTTTAGCATATGTACAGTTTTATCAGAGAATTAGAATTGGTTCAGACTGAGTATTTAGGAGCTGAAACCAATAACTTCCCAACCCTATTGTTTAATTACATTCAGCAACACGTAAGTTAAATGAGAGAATTTATGTGAAGAATTTCATGTCCTGTTAAATTAAGCTTAACACACTGTCTGTGTTATTGCTTTAGGTTAGACTACGTATTGATATCAGTCAGAGAACAGTGAAGACCAGTCAGGGAGTACTGGAGAGCAGTATGTACTAACCTGTGTACGAACCCAGATCCTTCCATTTACAAGGCAAGCTTATAGACCATTCAGCCAATGATACCTGACTCATTGGCCTGTGGGTTAGAGATCCGGTAATTGCGTATTGCTGATGAGTCCCAAACTAGGATGAAACAGCTGTCCTAGACTCCCCACTAGTTTTAAATGATTCTCTAACTGGTATTAATCCGTCGTCCAACCTAAAACAAATATAATCCCTACAAAAACGAATTCTTGAAAATTAATCTGATGCCCGCTAGTGACCAGCTACAGGACGAAATCGCCTTGAGTCCCAGTAGCTTCCATCCAGTCGGCAGTGATGATAGAGTTCCTGCCGATGTTATTGCTTTTATTTTTTATTCTGTGAACTGTAGAGAGAGTTTATTTACGAAGCATCCATTGTTTTTCTTGACAACATCTTCAGTGTAAACTTCACTATGAAGTGAACTAATTTGATTTCCATCAACCGACCAACTCCAAGTCATCCAGTGAAAGTACTAAGAAAATTATCCTACTATATATCTATAAAGAATATTTGTGAGATCATCAAGAGACTACTGAAATTGATTAAAGTAGATACTGGTGTTCACCAAAAAATCACTTAAATGAATGTTGCGTTAACCAAAAGAAACAATGGACAGAGACGACAGGCCCAACATTATCTATGGGATAAACTGAGTCAAATATAAAAAACATTATACTGGTCAAAGTGGACGTCCTCTTCGTGTTTGCATTGACGAACTTTATGTCCTTTTTTGTATCAATTAGTGCTGACAAGTCTGGACACTAATTCGACTTGGTAAATGTGCAAATCTCAGGCAAACAAAACACCGAAAATGCCAAAAAATTCCTAGAACATCGACGATACTCAGACAACTCTATAACCATTTATGACGAATTCACTTCATGCTTAAGTCACAAATGAAGACGCTGTATAGAAAAATAACGAAAGTTTAGCAAGGAAACCAGCCACAGGTGCATGGTAGCATACATATACTACTAACTAATAGACTTCAGTAGATAGATACCACTCACATCAACCAACAGTGCTTGCTAGCCAGCCAGATCGAAACGACCAAAACACCGGACATAATATGGTTCACTCATTTGACACTGATCTCATCAGCAGTGTATCCCATCTGATACAGTTCAGAAAATCAAATCAGTTGATTTAAGAAAGTGGTCAACTACGTATGTTCGTCAATCTGTAGTACATAGTTTCATGTGTCTACATTCGTTTTCTCGATTCTTATTTATGCTATCGAGCAGGTCACATGCACTGACTAATAGTCAGTGCTGAATGAATTAGTGTTATTAGCAACGTCAGTGTTGTTTAAATAGCATCAAATTATTATTAACAACAATAAACACAACATAACGCTACACTGAAATCAGACAGATAGATTAGGAAGAATGATAATACAAATTCATGAATTTATAGCCTCTACTGAAGACCAACAAGGGCAGCAGTAGTGTCGTTGATATAAGAATAAAACTTGTGCACTGTGGTAGAGTGCAATTCCATTATGGGTAAATTTCATTTTGATAGAGTCTCACAGTGTTATACAGTAATATTTACTGATGACGTTTCGAGCACAATTTATTGCTCATAATCATATCAAGGTGATCACACGACTTCCTAAATTCATTTATATAATTCCGTTGTTTTTCACTTTATTTTCACTTGATTTGATTGGTAGTATTATTTTCCATATTTCGGGTATGAGTGATGATTCATTCCTATTGCATGTGTTGGGTGTAGACTCAATGAACAAGGATTCAGTAATCAATTTCTCTCTCGCGCTCCACCTACCTAGATTACTTTCTAGAATTTTAACCCTCTCCCACCCTATTGTGTGGTTGTGTGTTAATCCATGCATTGCAATTGCCGAGCTTTTTTCTAAATTACTTATCTTCTCTGGGTCAACCATTCTTACCTTAGCTAAATTCTTATGTTCCGCCAATCTGATTACCCCCGATCTACTAGTTCGACCCATGTAGCTGACCTGACTCACAGTCATAGCAAGGTATTTTGTAAATTATATTATTTTGTCTAATTGGGTCCACTGGGTCCTTTAACCTACATGGCTTGTCCCTGAGTGAGTTTGTAGGTTTAAATGCCACCCTAATTCCTGCTTTATTTAGAATCCTACGTAGGGTCTCAGATGTCCCCTCTTTATATGGTATAACTGTAAATGACTTATATTCTCTCTTATTTATGTTATTATTCCTAGTTTCACAATTATTTTTATTTTGTTTTTGGCCTTTACTGATCTTCCTAATGAATTTTAGAGGATAGTTATTTAAAACGCCAAAAGAAAAATAAAAATAATTGTGAAACTAGTAATAATAACATAAATAAGAGAGAATATAAGTCATTTACAGTTATACCATATAAAGAGGGGACATCTGAGACCCTATGTAGGATTCTAAATAAATCAGGAATTAGGGTGGCATTTAAACCTACAAACTCACTCAGGGACAAGCCATGTAGGTTAAAGGACCCAGTGGACCCAATTAGACAAAATAATATAATTTACAAAATACCTTGCTATGACTGTGAGTCAGGTCAGCTACATGGGTCGAACTAGTAGATCGGGGGTAATCAGATTGGCGGAACATAAGAATTTAGCTAAGGTAAGAATGGTTGACCCAGAGAAGATAAGTAATTTAGAAAAAAGCTCGGCAATTGCAATGCATGGATTAACACACAACCACACAATAGGGTGGGAGAGGGTTAAAATTCTAGAAAGTAATCTAGGTAGGTGGAGCGCGAGAGAGAAATTGATTACTGAATCCTTGTTCATTGAGTCTACACCCAACACATGCAATAGGAATGAATCATCACTCATACCCGAAATATGGAAAATAATACTACCAATCAAATCAAGTGAAAATAAAGTGAAAAACAACGGAATTATATAAATGAATTTAGGAAGTCGTGTGATCACCTTGATATGATTATGAGCAATAAATTGTGCTCGAAACGTCATCAGTAAATATTACTGTATAACACTGTGAGGCAGCAGTAGTGGCTGGTTGGACTTGCTTCTTCTGCATACAAAGCACCCGTTGTTTTTAAGGCAGATCTCGATACCCTCTGCTGTTTGAAGTATGCGGTCGGTACCTAGATGTTCTTGGCAATATTTTTGGTACCACGTAGATGACAGAGAAGGATTCTTCAATGCCAGCTTTCTGGGTGGTTTGCACCAGATGCTCTAATATCGAACTATTGATGATTAGAGCTATATGCTCAGCAGATGAAGTTGGCATCGTATATGACACCTTAGTTGAAAATAGCTATCCAGACAAATTCACCAAGAAACATATGACTAAGAAAGTTGAAAAAGACTACCCACTATCCGTAAACAAGAAGTCTGTATACATACGGCTGCAATTCAAGGGCAATATACCTAGCGATATAATTATGAAGAAAGTTAAGAAAATCAGTTCAAAGATCTTTCAATGCTGGTAAACTACAAGTCTTATTTTCTTCACGACCGATGGTGTTTCCTCAATTGAAAGATGAAGTAGCTAGATTAGCCACTTCTAATTGTATCTACCAATTCAAGTGAGCTTGTGATGGAGCGAGTTATATTGTCCGTTGCTTTAGAAACTTGATTTTTCGTATTCACTAGAGAAAATTTACCAGTGCAGTTAAATAAAGGTGTATAGTAAAACCCATCATCAGTTCGATATTTGACCACCGAGTTCAAACCACCCAAAAAGCCAGCATTGAAGAATCCTTCTCTGTCATCCACCGGGTACCAAATTCATTGAAATCCCCTACTACTCCAAATAAGAGAAGCTATCGCGATTCGCATGAAACAACCAGTGCTCTGTGTGCAAAGGAAGAAGAACGTTCAGTCACTACTGCTGCCCTTGTTGGTCTTCAGTCGAGACTATAAATTCATGAATTCGTATTAGCATTCTTCCTAATTTTCAGATATTCAGTGTACTGTTGTTATTTTGATGCTAACGAACTGTAATCCATTGATATTGCTATTATTATTGATTCGATGTTATTTAAACAGCATTGACGTTGTTAATAACACTAATTTTATTGGCTATTATGTATATATAACTGTAGAACCTGATGAAGAGCGGGTTATCGAAAAGAATACTCTACGTTCGGTAACTATTCTTTTTAAAAAGAAATTTAATAGGCATTTTTAATCAGCTCAAATAAATATAGGAAACATTTATTTCCCGATACGAATTTAAAACAAGCAATAAAGGTTAATAAAGCAGGAGTGTGTTTGTGGAAGCAAATACATAGGTCGTACGGAAAGGAGATTGTCTACTCGCATGATGGAGCATTTGCCAAAATGGTTGAAAAGAGCTGAGTTCAAAGTGCCAAAATCCTCAATAACAAAGCATCTTGTGGATTACCGGCATGATATCGACGCAGTCAAGTCATTCACTATTGTCAGCAGCCAAAGAAACAAGAAGATGCTTGCAATTGCAGAGGCTTGTGCAATTCGAGTTTACAAACCAGGTCTCTGTGTACAAAAGGAGATGGTCGTGACTCTGAATCTACCATGGTAATACGTTTTACTTATAATTCTACCTCTTATTATTATTTTATTAATACTATTATTATTCTCATTATTATTATTCTTGATTCATTTAAAACTATCCTTTATCAGTAGCATTATCTTAACTCACTTTAACACTATTATTATTGTTATTATAACTATTACTATTGACATCGCTCTGGTTGCAATTCTTGTTAAATTCTCTAATTGTATGGAGGATTTCATCATGAGCTGACATCAGTTAGAGAACCACTGGAAAACCTGGTTCTCTAACTGATGTCAGCTCATGATGAAATCCTCCATACAATTAAACAAAAATCCCTACCAAACCAATACTTGAAAATTCTCTAATGTCTAATTGTTTATCTAAGTGATGTAATTGAAGCGTAATGCAATTTATCTTAATTTTGATCTCTCATACTCTCTCTCCCCTTATCTAATTGAACATGACCTGGAAAAACATTCGCACCTGTCTTTCTGCATGACTAATTCAATGTAGTTTATTTACTTATCAGTCCTATATCTCCCAATGTAATTTCAGAAGTATATATATCCGTGTATGTAGAGTATTCAGCTGACGAGTTCTACCGAAATTTGATGAATTCATTAAATCCTGCTTTATTAACCTTTATTGCTTGTTTCAAATAAATATATTTGAAAATTCTAGCTGACTATTCGTTTAATTGGCTTAGTGACATGTCTAATGCTGTTAACCAACATCCTTATACACACACATTAAAGTCAGAGGGGTCACCCAACAACTTTTACTCTCAACCCAGCAGGAATAAAATGCCACCGAATCAATTTCTTCTCTTTCTTTCAGTGATCAACCAAGCAAAATAATAAATCTTGAAGTCCGAACAAAATTTAATCGACTTTTTTTGAAAGTCTTGGACACTTCGGGATTGCCATACTACTAGAACTAAGCAACTGTATTTTTTGTCCTTTGTTAGTGATATTTCTGTGATATACTGAGGATCAGAAAGAAAGCTAACTAGGAATTAATGATGTCATTTTTTTTAAAAGACATAAATCCATTTCTGTTGTCCTGCTCCCAGTATTTCCAGCTGGAACATAGTTCTTCATGCTTTGACCTTTATGTAGTCATTGTGTTGCTTTTACGTGTGTAGGATTGCTATCCTCATATCCAACCTTCCATCTTTTCTAGGACTGTAATTGGCTAGACAGTGTTTAGGATTTCGTCGGTCGAGAATCAAACTTGAATCTCCTTTTTAGCTGCTGAGCATCCTAACGTTACGCAAGCATTGCACAATTCATTGCCTAACACTTCTTAATTTTATGGGAATAAAGTACTGGAGATCATGTGATCCGGATCTACAAAAGGAAGCCCAAAGCGAGTGTCATCAGTAGCTCTACAGAAATTTCTGAAATTTGGACTCCAGTTGTTAAGGTCAATTACCTATGACTTAAATGTATGTATAAGTGATAACAAGCATAAAAAATTGATGCGACAGTTAAATGGCATGCGAATAAATTAGTTTAAGCAATAAGCAATAACCAGCACCAGTCACCATCATTGAGAAAGATTTGATCAAGGTTACTTCCTTCCCTCACTTATCCAGTAGGCACGGTTTCAAACACAGGCAGTCGGAAAGTATTAAGCCAGCCAGAATCAGAAAGGCGAGGTACGCCTTCACCAACGTGAAACCAGTTTGGAAATCCTCTGCACTGACTTAGCCAGCATAAAGAACAAGATTCGGATTTTCAACACCACTGTGGAGTTAGACAGTCAGTCAGTTCTTCCAGACGGGTCAGAAACTTGCACTGCGCGTCCGTCACGAAGAGGATTTCCAACAGCTAGTGGCAGACTTTTATCAACAGCTGCCTGCGTCTCTGGATCCATAGTGAAGATCATATGGCCGGCTGGCTAGAAAGAATCAGTAACAAGAAACTCTGACTGGGAACAAAACAACAGGTCAGAGCCGATTGCTCAGCAAATATGTAAGAGAAAATAGAGATCTGGTATACATTGAGGAGGCCCGTCGAATGAAATAACGTGGAATGTAGGCCATCGCTCGAGTGGAATCACAATGGGAAGTGACGAACTGGTCGTCGGTGCGAGAGTGACATGAAGGAGACTGCGTGAGGAAGAGATGAGAGATTATGGTCAATCTTAGACGCATCTGAAGAGAACAGCAGAAAATAGAAAAAAGTGGTGATGTGTTGTTGAATCCCTATCTTCCACTGGGAACCAAAAGGAATAATAGTAATAACTTAAGCTAGTGCTTGAAGTTCTGTAGCAGTGTTACTTAAAATACAATATATAATAATCATAATAATCCGTAAAAGGCTAAGGGGGGATTGAAAACTGTCAGATTTTTACAACCCAGTAACTGATGGTGCCCAAAATCAAGGAAAGTGGCTGTATAAACAAACTTCTTCTGAAAGCATAAGTTGAGCTTTTCAATATGGATTCCAGTGAAATCAGTTACAATGCAGAATTAACACATCATTCTTATTACAACAGATAACTTCAAGCGCCTTGTTCACATCAACTCAAAAGACGAAACATCGAGATTGGCATTCCTATATCTTTCATGACGAAGCTTCTCGTGAAATGTACAATGAATGTCCACTTTTTATTTAATAAGGAACTGTATAGACAAATCGACGGTGTGGCAATGGGGTCGCCACTAGGACCCATTCTAGCCGACATTTTCCTGGCAAAACTAGAAAATGGGCCTCTGAAAGATGTTATTAATGAACTCGAATTTTACTGTCGATACATGGATGATACTTTTTTGATTATGAAGAACGAAAAGGAGGCCAAGAACATCCTGGATAAATTTAATGAGGTACATCCTGCAATAAATTTTATTATTGAGAAAGAAAAACACTCTAGTATTTCATTTCTAGACGTCCTTATGACCAGAAAAGAGAATGGCACAATAAGAAGAAGTGTTTATAGAAAACCTACATCAACGGGCCAGTACACACATTTTCTCAGCTTTGTGCCCTTGAAATACAAACGCAATCTAATAAAGTGCTTGGACTACAGAGCAAGTGAGATTTGCTCAAATGAATGTCTTGACGAGGAGCTTAACAATATTAAACGGTTGCTAGGTGAGAATGATTATCCCGAAAAGTTTATTGATAAGAATAGGAATCTAAAACTAAAACAGTCCAAGTTACCAACAGTTCCATAGAAAGCCTTGTTCTTACAGATGCAGTTCCTAGGAGACAACATAAGTGAGATACTAACACATCGCCTCAGAAATGCGGTAAAAAGAGCATTCCCTGCTGGTCAATTACGCTGTATCTTTCAAACCAGTCCTCTTCTGCGTTCGGGAATAAAAGACAAACTGCCTAATTTCGCCTCTTCCATGTGTACATACCAATTTAACTGCTCTTGAGCCAGTTACATAGGCCGTACAATTAGGCGTGTTTCTCGTCGAATTTCTGAACATCACCTTGCCTGGTTAAGCAAAGGTCAAACAAAATCTATTCGCAGCGCTATTCTGTCTCATCTTGTGGAGACAGAACACAAGATTGACGTTAATCATGCTTTCAGGGTCATTTACCGCATACCTACGAATCTCAATTTCGCTTTAAGAGTTCGACTTCTAAATATTGCTGAGGCTGTGGGGATTCATATTAATAAGCCTAATTTATGTACCCAAAAGAAGTTAGTTCAGTCATTATCATTACCTTGGCCATCCAGGTTTGAATAATCCAGAAATTTTGTGAAATTTCCCTAATTTTAGTTGATATTCTATTCGCTATTATATCTTTATTATTATAATTTAAGCATCTTTAATGAACTGTAATAGCATTGACCATACTTTACAAATCGATATTATTTTTTAAAAAAACGCTAATATTGTTATTAACTACTATTTTAAAATATTCTGTGTATATAAACATATATATAATTGTAGAGCCTGGAAGAGGAATTTATCGAAAAGAATATTCTTTGCTCGATTATTTTGTGTTTTATAGATGTCTGAATGAATATTTTTGCAATTTAATTAGTGCATCTACAAGCTGAGCAATAAACAGACAGCTATAAATGGTGCTTATTTGTCCACTTTTCCTTAAGCGTGAATGATAGATAATGTCCAGATATTCGATGGTAAAGATGTCTATTTGTAGGCCAATTGTTACTAACTGTCTCCATAAGAGCATTCAAAACTAGGGAATACACTCTTTTTTAAAAGATTTTGTAGTTTCACATTTATTTATCGCACCAAACCATGAAAATTATTGATTTTTACTTTTTCCTTCTTCGTATGATTTAGTTAGAATGTTGTGGCATTTATACGTATACTGAATGGTTAAATCCAAGTATTAATTGGAAACGCGAAGTGACTTATAATAATGTAACATACGGTAAGTTTTTCTAATGTGTAAGAACACCATTTTTATAATCTATTCCATTACAGTTTATTATGTAAACATTTAACAAAGAAGCATTTTAACATACTATGTCATGTAGTTGTGTGGTGGTGTGATACAGAAGTGTGTCCAAGGGAATATTATTCTCACATATTCCCACAGTTCAATACTGCATTAGCAGCAGAATACTGTATATATATTTGAACATTCTATTTGATGTTGTTTAATGTAAGCCCAAATCACACACTTGGCGATTTATTATTATTATTATTGTTCCCTTGGGTTCCTAGTGGAACATAGGGCTTCAACTGCACGTCTCCACTTGCTTCTGTCTTCTGCTGTACTTTTCACCTGCATCCATGTTAGTCCATACTGTTTCAACTCCTCTTCACACGATCTCCTCCATGTCACCCTTGCACGTCCCACTCACCGCTTCCCTTTCGGGTTCCACTCGAGCGATAGCCTGACGCGCGATGTCACCCAGCGGCCTCCTCAGCGAGTGTCCAATCCATCTCCACTTTCTCCTGCATATTTGTTGGGCGATTCGTTCTTGTTTTGTTTGTTCCCATAGTTTCTTGTTGGTGATTCTCTCCGGCCATCTGATCTTCAGTATAGAGCAGCGAAGACAGTTGTTGATAAAGGTCTGCAACAGGCTGTTGGAAATATTCTTTGTGACACACTGGCCAAGTTTCTGATCCGTATAGAAGAACTGACTGACTTGATGTTTGTATTGAAAATCCGAATTTTGTTGTTGATGCAGGCTGAGTGACGAAGATTTCCAGATTGGTTTCAGGTTGATGAATGTGTTTCTCGCCTTCCCGATTCTCGATTTGACATCCTCATCCGTCCGTTCCTCCTGTAGTTGAGACAATGCTCCCTAGATAGGTGAAAGAAGTAACCTCTTTCAAATCCCTCCCGTTGATGGTGATTGGCGCTGGATGTTGCTGGTGCTGTTGTTGTTGTTGTTGGTTGGTTATTTTCATAACCTCCATCTTGTCTATGTTCACCTGGATTCCTGTCCTCGCCACCTGCTTCTTCGACCAGTTTGTCGGTTTTCGCTTGTAAGTCTTCGATTTTGCGATTGGTTAAACAATAAAAACTATAAAGAGCGGTTTGATCAATGAAAAATGCACCTTTGCTTCCGGGTCTTGCCTTCTACTGCTACAGTAGTATGGTTTAGAGATTTGGCAGAAGTAAAACAGGCTGTTGCACACTCTCATCAATATCCACCTTCGCCTTCTTATTGCTGAAGATCAAACGGAGCACCAAGAAGGATAAGAGACTAGGAATTCTAACACTGAACCAAACAAGACTCCATTTATTGCCATACAACTAAGAAGAAGGAAATAAAGCTGGAAGACAGTGAGTTGAATATGGCTCCAAGAAAGGCATGGAGGAGATGGTGTTAGGAGTTGATGAGAGGTTATGAGCAGTTGTAGAGTAAAGAAGAGGTGATTATACACCTGTAGATGCATAGAAGTGGATGATGTGGAACTGCGCTATTGAAGCCTCAAATAAATATGTGAAATAGTAAAATAGCAACACTAATGTTAAAATATAACATTTTTACACACTACTTACAAATTTTTGCAAGCGGCACGTCCAACAATATGCATCTGGCTTTCCAGTACTGTCTTACGGTTCAGTATTGTAGATTTCTATCAATATATAAGTGGTAATTATCATCCAATTCATAAGTTCAACGCTTCCAATAACTTTCTTTTCATTCCTTGATATCTGGTCGGTCGGTTTTCGACATAAAACTTTGCACAGATGTGCAGCAGTTCAAGTCGCCACACCTCCATGTAGCACACAAAGCAAGAGAAGAAAGTAGGAGAAACGCATATTACAGACAGTAAACAGAGGTGTGAGACAAAGGAATAGTAATAACGAAGAACAAAACAGTTTAATTGTATATCATGAATCACAAGGAGTGGATGCATCTGCACCAGTCATTGAGAACGATTTTGAGCCATGTCACCAATTGTTTCCAACCATTGGATTTTACCGTCCCGAGGACCCCAACCAGGAAGTCTACACCTTCTTACGTGGCTTAGACTAACTGTTGTGGATTTCATTGACTGATGAAGCCATGTTTTCGTTTGACCGCCGCTAGCTCATTTCCAGCCTCGCCCTATATCAGCTAACATTGCCCTTGTCGAGGGAGGCGATGACTAGGCATACGTAACACATGTCCTAACCATCTCAGTCGATGTAATTTCACAGTCTCGTCTATTGATTTCCCCACCATATCTAGCACTCGACGCCTAACCTCAATATTACTCACCTTATTATACCACTTCACATGAGAGATAGAACGCGGACACCTATGATCGAAGACAGCTAATCTTTTCATGTCTTCTGCTCTAAATGACCGGGTCTCACATCCATAAAGGAGGACGGAGCGGACTGAGTGGAATACGGGGATTCAAGCGCTAAACTTTGAAGTTTCAGTAGTGATGGTGTTATGCTTTTATATAGGTTGAGTTTGCCAAACTTATGTTCGGCCTTCCGCCTCTCCAGGGTTTACGATTAGGTAATAAATGAGGTGAGGTCTAAGAGTTCCTCAAGACGGAATTGACCCTGGACTTTCCAAGCAGCTGGTAAGCATTCATCTGCTAAAGTATCAGCATATACAGAATGTTTCACTGCTTCTTCTCTAGATATCTTTTTTTTCGCCTGTCTCTGTGAGCTACATGGAAGGTGGCTGCACTCTTTGACAAGTTCTATGGTGAGACTCAGTAGGATTGCATTCTCTGAGCTGGAAAGTTTAATCACGAAACTCTTACATTCATTGTCTCTCTAGACAACATATTCAGCGGAGACTTCAGTATGAAACGGATTAATTTCACTTCTTTATGAATGGCATAACTGTCTTCTTTGACGATCTTATATGTCATTAGTTGTTAATTTACATTAGTTTTAGTCGTTTACGGGCATGAAATTTGACTTTCTTCTCATATGGCTTATTCTTAATCAGTTGTTAATTACCTATTCGTCTGAATATCAGGTTTTTATGGAATTCTCAGCAGTTTCAGTGTTCCCACTGTTCAAAACTGTCTACATTTTCTCAGTCAAATCGACATTCATATTGATCTACATGTACTAATATGAAGGAATACATCTCATTTCAGTTATTATGGAGAAGATTTGTAGCTCAGGTGGATGATTTTGATGTAGTTCTGTTCTCTGAGCTGGATGGTTTATTATAGTTGCGAAATTTTCAGTATTCTACTAGGCAACATCTTCAGCTCCTTCTTGAAGTTTCGTTAATTTCGTTGGCTAGTTAATGCTTTTGAACCTGAAGTGAAAAATAGGACCAACAGTTAGTCCACTATGGTACTTTTCACAATTGATGCAGTTTATTTTTTAAGATGTTTAAGTATTGGTTTTTGTAGGCATTTTTTTGTAATCACGGAATATACACATTTTATCATAGGGAATAAAAAGACAGTTGAAGCGAAGAAAATTTTCTATTCGACGAAGTCATCATCTAGGCTGTACATTCGTGTATTTATATCAAATGTATAGGAAAGTTCCAGAATAATTTCTGGTTAGGATTTAAATTAATAAAAATTACAATTAGGAATTAGAATGCCATAATAAACAGGGGGATGGGTAAAACTCAAACAGAGTAACATTATAATAACTAAGAAGATTGACATTGTGCAATTGGGGGTTAGAAATGTAGAAATAACAAAATATACAGGATGTTTGGATAAAAAACTAGTGTGATGAATAATTGTTTATGCAATCAGGGATTAAATATGTAGAAATAGTAAAATGACAAAATAAACAGGAAGTGTGGATATGAAAATATGGTAGTGTAGACAGGGATTAGGAAAACTTCAAATAACATGAATAAACAGGAAGTTTAGATAAGAAAGGCGATGGGATGGTCATTATTTAAAAAAAATTTACCTGTTTACGATGGCCATGGCAGGGACAGGGGTTGGATGTATTTCTTTTGGATACAAAGAATGGGTTTGAGTTTTTGGATAGCTAACGCCTCAGCTATGCCCAAATGTCTTGATTTCACTCCCTTTGATAGGTTTGATTGAATCTTGTATATTACTTTGAAGGATTTTTCGAAAGGCGCTGAATGTCCTGAGTTGACCAGATGTTCTGTCACTGAACTGTTTACACGTTTTTGCTCTCCTTTTACCAGCCAGGCTGGGTAGTGTTCACGAGCGCGTTTTCCAAGTTGGCACATGGTACGGCCGATGTACTCAGCTCCACAAGAGCAAGTAAACTGGTATATGCACGTTGAGGTGGCCCAATGCGACAGCTTGTCTTTCGCGTTCTGGTTGAACAGTTTCTCGCAGGAAAACGTCAGTCGTAGGCTTGCGGTGAAGTATGTTTTCCTCAGCGATTTGGAGAAGCGTTTGCGAAGGATTTCTGCTTCAATATCACCTCTGAATTCTAGATTAAGCAGAAGTATTTTCTTTGGGATGGATTGGACTTGTTCCGAAGTCTTCTTAGGTTTGAGATTCTTGTCTATGAACCTGGGCGGGAGACCGTTTTCCATCAGGGTTTTTCGGAGATTACGCAGTTCTTCTTCGATCACTTCCTCGCTGCATATCTTCCGAATCCTCAAGGAAAGAGCGTATATCAGGTTCCTCTGTCTGCTTAGCGGTATGAAGCTTTGAAAGTTGATGAATTGTCCAGTCCATATAGGCTTTTTTTATATGGACCTTTTCAAAGATTATTTTGTCTTTGATTGGTTGGAGGATTTCATCATGACCTGACATGGGTTAGAGAACCACTGGAAAACCAACAGCAGGGCGTACTGGCACTGTTTCGTCAGCCTAGTTTGGGACTGTTCATCAGCATGCACCCACTGTGGCTCGAACCCAGAACCTTCTGGTTACAAGGCGAGCTCGTAGACCATTAGGCCACTGGGACCTAATGGTCTACGAGCTCGCCTTGTAACCAGAAGGTTCTAGGTTCGAGCTACGGTGGGTGCATGCTGCTTGAAGAAAGGTTGTGAATGT